AGAAGGCAGACGCTTAACTGACTGAGCCACCCAGGCGCCCCTGTCTGAACAGTTCTGAGACAAGTTGATCAACTACATCATCTTGAGTCTTAGTTCCCTCTTCTCCAGGCCTGTCATTACTTTAAAATACACCAATTTCTTACTCTTTCGCCATTATAGTTGTGTAAAGTGGAGGCAAGGGGAAAGTGATTCAGGGAAAACACTGTGTTATGTATGATTACTTCTATCCTTATATATGTATTTTAAGCCTTACAGTATCAGCAGTACTGAGTTAAATGGAATTTTTCCTTTAGTTTAAAGTTTACAGTGGTAAGTGATCCTATGGACGACGAAAATAAAGAATGTCAAGAAGTAGGATACGCGTTTCTGGAACTGTGGCAGATCATGGAATCAGGAAGAGATGGTGTAGAGCAAGAGCTAGACAGTGAGTAATAAATTTTCATGCTTCTCAGTTTCACTTATTTCTAAGGAAATCAGCCTAATCACGAATACTCCTGTTTTACCTTCAGTATATAATTACCACTATGAAGTTGATGATGATATAAATTGGATCAAAATCCCTACAGCTGTATTTATTTCTAGATTGAGCATGAGAGTAGTCAGTTGTATATTTTAGCCCATGTACCTCATGACAACTGGAATACAATCTTTTATGAATCTCCAGGGTTTGAAATCAGGGAAGTTTGAAAAGACCAATTCTTTGGATTTCAGTCAGATTTAAAGATCAGAATTCCTGATTTAAGCATATAAGGTTTGTAAAGGCAGCAAACACCCTCCTCTTGTAATGTCTCTTCCATAGACACCCACTCACCTGCTCCCTCACACCTCATGGTATTTGTTACCGAGGTTTTTGGGGTGGGTTTTTTTTTTTGGTTACCAAACCGTAACCATCCTGCTTCAGAAGTGTCTGGACTGTATCCCCACTTCCACCCCATTCCCATCTGCTACAGTGTTTCTTTACAAAAAATTTGATCACCATTCTTCTTAAATCCATTTTTAACATTGTTTGCTGCAAGACTGGCATGCTTCAAAAATATCTGCCTCTGAATGGGCCTGTTCTGTCCAGTCCCCACTGCTCTTACCCTGCATGCCTGGGATTTCACATTGACCTTATCTGTGAGGCTGTAGTAGGCCCCGAAGATTACCCGCTAGACCAATGGTTTTTGTTTTTTTTTAAAGATTTTATTTGACAGAGACACAGCAAGAGAGGGAACACAAGCAGAGGGAGTGGGAGAGGGAGAAGCAGGCTCCCCACAGAGCAGGGAGCCCGATGCGGGGCTAGATCCCAGGACCCTGGGATCATGACCTGAGCCGAAGGCAGACGCCTAACGACTGAGCCACCCAGGCGCCCCACCAATGGTTTTCAAACTGCCAGTCCTAACCAACCAACCAATGGGTGGTGAAATTAAATTAGTAAGTCATGACCAGAACTGGGGGGGAGGAGGGGGACTGTAGAAAATATCAGAGTGCTCTGCACCTAATTTTGTGACACTTTCTTATGTACATGTGTACTGAGACATGATAAAAAATTACAGTAAGATTTGAGGAATACTCTTCAGACCGGGGGCTAGAGTTCAAACTAGCTGGTAGACAAGAGTCTTCATTTTATTCCTCTAGTACCCTTCCAGCTGAGGTACTGGGCAAGTTGTGTAACCTCTCCGTGCCCGTTTTCTCAACTGCAAGGTGAGAATAGCAGTTGCTCCGTAGGCATGTCCCGAGGACTGAGGGAATGCTTAAGAGGAGGCTTGCGGAGGGAGAGCAGTGTTGAGGATCTCGCTGGCTGGCTCGCTGGCTGGCTGCACAGGGCAGGTGGGGTCTCTGTCATCTGTTTTCTTTTTTTTTTTTAAGATTTTATTTATTTATTTGAGAGCTAGAGAGCACGAGAGGGAAGAGGGTCAGAGGGAGAAGCAGAGTCCCTGCCGAGCAGGGATCCCGATGCGGGACTCGATCCCGGGACTCCAGGATCATGACCTGAGCCGAAGGCAGTCGCTTAACCAACTGAGCCACCCAGGCGCCCTGTCATCTGTTTTCCAACTCACAATGCCAAGTGCAATTCCTGTCGTCCCCATTCCCTAGACATGCTGTACTCTTCCTGGCTTCTGGGCCTTTGTACAGAAGGAACATCCCCTGAAGCCTTTTCTAGTCGTGACCTTAACATTTCTAAAGCCAATGAATATGTCTCAATTATTTTGATTTTTTTTAATCATCAAAAGAAAAATTTATAGTAATTTCTTTACTATGGCTGCCCTTCCTTCCACTCAAAGACTTTAATCATATTGGTCTGATTGGAAAAACAAAACACTGCTTTCTAGCCCTTCTCTCTTACAGCACTTTCAAACTCGGGCTCCTTGAAATATTTGCTGAATGGTCAGTCAGTGCAGTACTGTTCTGGCACCGCCTACACTGGTTAAGATCATGTTTTCATCCAAACGCTTTACTGACTCTGTTCTTACCGGTTTTCCTAATTGTCCGATCCAGTTGGTTTCCTTATTCATCCTACTTGACCTTTCTAAATCTCTATTATTGCTCATTCTTCTTTTTGAACTCCGTTCTCCCTTTCTTACACCATTTGACTTTCCAGATCACTCTGTGGGGGAGCCTTCTGTTTCTTTACAGGGTCTTCTCCCCCGACTTGAATGTTGGGGTTCTCCTGGTTCAGTTCTTGGCTTTTTTTTTTTTTCTCTCCATCTACCCTCTTCCTAGGTGTTTGCATTCACTCCCAGGGTTTTAATTATAATCTAAAAATTATCTCAAATCTAAGTTTCCAGTCCAGATTTTTAATAAAATCTAGACTTACAGTAGACCAACAATCACTACTTCTATGTTCCCTTAGTACCTAAAACTTGACGAGCCACCATCCAGTTATCCAAATTAGAATGGTCATCCTTGATTGCAGCCTACTCCTCACTCCCAACATTTAATCACATTATTTTTAGCTCTCAGACGTTCTGAATCTGTCCTTCTCTCTCCATCCCATTATACTTGACTCCTTTCTCTCCTGAATCACTGCAGCAGCCTCATAACTACCCTCCCTGATCTGCTCATGCCCCCAATTATATTCTCCAAATAATGGCCATTTTTTTTGACCCCAAATAAAAATCACCACTTCTATACTTTGGTTAAAACCAGATCCCTTAGAAGACAAACAAGGCCCTTTATGATCTGCCCCTGGCTTATCAATACAGATTCACTTTTTTTTTTTTTTTAAGATTTATTTAGAATATCTTAAAAACTTAGCTCAGGGATGGTCTCTGGAAAGCCTTTTCCAAATCCCCCATCTTGGCTTAGGTGCCACTTCTACGTGTTCCCAAAGCACCCGGAGTTTTCATCAGAGCACCTCGCATACTGTTCTGTGCTCTCCCTTCTTTTCCGCCAGACTGAGGCCCCGGAGAAACAAGGCAGTGACCTGTAGTGTCCCCATCCCCTCACACAGCACCTGGCAGTTGTTTAAGTGTTTCCTAAATGAACAGGGCTGCCGCCTGACCTGTTTGCCTTTCCTCTCCCAACAGTTGTCAGCCCTGAAGATCAGGCCACCCAAATAGGAAGGCTGAAGGTGTCCCTTCAAGCTGCCGCCGCCCTCCATGCTGTTTACAAGGAGATGACAGAAGATACGTTTTCGTGATGGAGCAAGTACTGTTCCAGTCTAAACTCTCGGAGGGAACCATAGTAAAAAAGTCTCTTATAAAGTAACTTGCTGTACCATGAATTTGGTTTACTGTGATGTCTGGTATCTCTCAACCTAATGACAAAAGCTTAGAAGGACGAAAGTGAATTTCTGTGATCCCCCTGGACAAAGGCATTATTCTCTAACGTCTCAGCACTCTGCCAGGTGAGGCGCAGGCCTGCTTTCGGGAACTGCAAAACAACGGTCACAAAAGGTGAATTTACAAAAACAAAACAACAACAAAAAAAACCACAGTTTATTTATCTTTTAGTTCTTCCAAAATTGAAAATATCAAGTCCTACCGCTAAGGAGAAAAAAACAAACAAACAAACAAAATCCGAGACCCCTCCCCCCCTTCTCTTAAAGTCACAGAACACAGAAGGAACTGCAGTGGGACAGGTGGGTGCAGAGAACCGGGAGGGGGAGGATGGCGAGATAAACTCCCCAAATACTTAAAAAGCTGTTCAACAGAAACTGTGATAAATACAGGACAATGCAAGACAAGTAAAAATAAGGAGCAGCAGTGATGAGAGGCTGTGTTGTAGACGTGGCCTCCCTTCCTCTTCTCTTTTCTCATCAGGGTAATTCTAGGCCCCAGGCATGACCTGCCCCTTCCAGATCTAAATGTTGATTCCTCTGAGCCTCCTTCTAGGTTTCACTAGAAGCAGTGCGTGAGGCACAACCATTCTTCCTCAGATACATCAGAAAAGAAACAGTGGTAATTTTGCTTCTACCATGGTACCATGTGTGAATTTGTGAGGAGGATGAAACCGAGCCTGGGAGTGCCACTGCTTCTTAGGTCGTCCAAGGCAACAGATACCTCTATCTGCGTGAGGCAAAAAAGCAGGAAAACTCAGACGGAGGTACCGGCCCGATCTGCCTCACTAGCTCAGGTTGTGTGGTTTATCACAACTATTAGCAAATTCCAAGAACCTTTTCTTGAGTACTGCAAAGATGGGACGTAAAGAGATGTGAGCAAGGTCATGGCAGTAGGGTAGGATGGAGGCTCGGATCTGCTGGTCAAGAACCATGGTACAGGTAGTTAGGGGTCACCTCGTACCAATGTCTTGGAAATACAGCTTTGAGACATCAAAGAATAAGATGTCAGAAGCCATCGATGTCCTGGCAGAAGGTGGCGGGAAGAGAGGAATGAAACGGTACTTAGTAACAGCGGAAGCCTCTGCCCTTCTTCAAGAACACCTCCTCCCTCGCCATCTGGATGGGGCCACTGGCACGTGTCCTGGTGGGCCTGGAATTCCCCGAGTAGATTGGTCCACACAAATGGCCCCCTAAACCCATAAACACAAATGGCAAAACTTCAAAAAGAAAAAAAAGGAAAAATACAGTTTCTATGTCATGTAAAATTTGTAGGGGTTGGCTGGATAAAGAATGGAGCTGAGGACCAAAGTTCCGAAGTTACTTCCTCTTTTTCTTGGGGGGTGCAGAGCTGTGTCTGGAACCACGGTTAGAGCCACGGCCTGAACTGTGCACAGATGCCTTCCTCTTCCGGCTCATACTTCGACTCTGTTCTTCTTCTTCCTCGTAACGACTTTCACGGTCCGCTAAATAGGAGAAAGAGGCACTACTAGTTAGCGACAGGTTCGCTTTGATACCTCATAGTACGTGATAGCACGCGCTACTCGAGCATGGACTCTGGTGTCAAACTTAGGTTTTAACCTGTTAATCTCCGTCGCTTCTTGGTTGTGTGATTTTGGGCAAGTACTTAACCTTTCTGAGCCTTGGTTTATGTATTCATACGATGGGAAATTGTTTTATGATTAAATAAGGTAATCTAGGGCGCCTGGGTGGCTCAGTTCGTTGGGTGACAGCCTTCGGCTCAGGTCATGATTCTGGAGTCCCGGGATCAAGTCCCACATCGGGCTCCCTGCTCGGCGGGGAGTCTGCTTCTCCCTCTGACCCTCCCCCCTCTCATGTGCTCTCTCTCTCTCATTCTCTCTCTCTCAAATAAATCTTTAAAAAAAAAAAAATAAGGTAATCTATGCAAGGTGCCTATCCCAATGCTTGGGACCCAGCAGATAATATTTCCCTTTCACCTTTTAACTTATATCTGGCATCTGGTTTCAGAGTAATTAAACTAGTATTTATAAAAACAATCCTAACCCAGAAGAGGTCCAGAAAATTAGACTATTATAGGACACATTTGGAAACTGGCCTAATTCTGGAGCCTTCCAAGACTATGTGGCTACCCCAGGACGAAAGCATCAGTTAGACAGAGTCACGCCACTTGGAGGAGTGTGGACGCATTCTAGAGCTTCTCTGCTCCTCTGCTCCTCTGATGAAGTTGTAGCTGTAACTCCACGTGAGTTTTATAGTGTTCTTTTGTTATTCGTATTAGGCAAATACCAGCTCAAAATACTAAAATCTGCACCTCAAAAATAAACAACAAAAAATAAAAAATCTACCTTTCCGGGCTTCTTCCTCCAGTTCATCCCAATCCTTTCCACTCTCTTCTTCACTGCCCAATGATTCCTTGGAATAGTCTAAAATAAAATTAAGCATTAGTCTTCAGACAGGAATGCAATGGCGGAATTCTTCCCTCCTTTATGAGTTTCCAGAAATGACATTAGATTAGAAAGCCATGAAAAATTTCCCCTACAAAGACTAACCTGATTCTTCGGCTTCTGATGAATAGTCTTCATCACTATCCTCCTCCTCCTCTTCATAGTCATCCTCTGAAGGATTAAAAGTCTCATCTTCAATCTCGGATTCTGAATCCCCTTCCTCAGCATCACTGCCCTGGTAAGTCAGACAGCATAATACTATTTCCTGGGTTCTTTTTTTGACATTCACTTGATTGATGAATGAATTCAACCCATTTAGCACACCAGCATTATTTCTTTTTTACATGAACGAAAACCCAAAACCCCCGAGTGACCAAGAGATAAACGGGCTAATTTGAAATTGCTAGGAAAGTGCAATTACTAGATAAATATCTAATTCGTATTTCTTAAAGATTCACTTCACCCTTCCTTACCCAGGAAAATTAACCACAGAAATACTCTTGGTAATAATGCATTATGCAGAGGTGAAAGAACCACTTCTTAGAAAACAATTTTTGCAAAATGTCCTAAAGTTACACCTGAAACTGATACTATGCTGTATGTTAATTATACTTCAGGGAGTAATAGTAAGAAGAAGTAAAAATGCCCTGAAGAATTTTTTCCCAATACTAAGAACAATTTTGCAATTTCAAAGAAATCTGAGTGGCTACCAGTCCCCAGTCAATTTATCATCTACTTGTAAAACTAACCTGGAGAAACAATACCGTAAGACCAAGCTCCCACTCGGTCTGCTCCCTTCTGTGCTACTTACATGGCATTTCCTAGCCGCCCAAATGGTAATGGGCACCACCATGTACCAGAAAAGAAACCCCACACTCACGCACCTCACCCTCAGGCTCTAGGAAAGACCAGCCACCTTGTTCGAAGAAGCCCTCGGGATCGTCGACAATGGTCTTCATGATTTTAGTCCAGTTGAGGGACTGCACTCCTTCTGTGTACTTTAGGTCACAGGAACTGAGAGACAGGACATTATGAAGTCAAAATCAATTCTATGTATTTTCTGAGAACGTACTGTGTCATCTTGCTCATAAGCATCTCTGAATGTAGATAACCTTTTCCTCAATATAGGGGAGCAGATATTCTTTGCACTATGCCACCAGAATAGACCCAAATGGCTGACAGTTGGTCTCTAGACACCAGCCCTCACGACAGCGCAGCATTCCAAATGAAGCAACTCTGTCTCTTGAACAAAGCTCATCATCTTTTTGTTTTCCATGTTCTCTCGTAAGCACCGACTTCCCTGTTCCTCCTTGAGCCTTTTCTCCTCCTCACCTATGCCTTCCCCTCCCCGACTCACTCTTACTTGCAAGTAGTTTCAACTTACAACCATTCCTAGGATTCTTACTTTTCAGCCATGATCATTCACACCACTGCAGTTCAGAAATAGCAACTGGTCCTAGCTCCCCCTCCCCAATCTTCCACTGCTTTCTTATGTGTTGCTTATTTGATGCAGGGTCTATTTGAAGGTAGGGATAAGTTTTCTGTTTGTTTAGTACCTAAAGTACCCTGTATTAAGATGTTCAAATGACTTTACTTCTGTTGAGGAGAGCTCAATCAATTCAAGTGGGCGGGAAGGAAGAGAAAAGGAAACGAAAGAAATGACAAGAGTGAGGATCACAAGAAACCTCCGGCACAAAACCTATCTGGGAACTGCTGCTGTAAGTCCGTCACCGGCACTGCATCACACGCCGTAACATGCGCTTCTAGCCACGGCGGCGTAACAAGGGCTAGATTTACCTTTTCACTTTTAAACAACTAGAAAGCCAAACGAGATATGAAACAGCTTTCAAACACTAGCTAAAAAGCAGCACAGGACTATAATCCCCTAAAGGAGGAAACGTACGGGGTTCTGTTTTAGAACTACCCAAGTTTTCTGCCTGGAGGCAGTTCCCAGGCTGCTATGCAGGGAAGTGGAACCCAATCAGAACCTGAGAGAGAGAAGGATTTGTGGAGGCTGAGACAGCTAGAATTTTGAGGCAGGAGTACTGGAGGAGAGAGTGACAGAAAAAGCTCTGGAAATGTGCAGAGGGATCCCCTTCAATCTCTGGCTGACAGCATATCTCCAACATGCATGAGAGGAAGCTAAGTAGAGCTGGGCAAAGCAGCAGGCCAGATAATTCCCAAATCTCACACTGAGCTGGAAATAGTTCCTGCTGTACCAGCTTCAGGGGAAAAACCTTATAACACACAGTGAATCTGAGCCCTCGAAAGAGTACTGCCTCAGCAATGGGGTAAATTGGTCCTAGACCAAAAAGCTGTTCTGAACCAGCACTAGAGACATCTGAGAACAAGTTCTGAAAGATCAAGTGGTATCCAAATCACTCAACTATACCTAGAACGAAATCTAGAAAAAGTTTTAAAAACGTAGCACACAAAAATGTGTAGTCACACTGGCAACTGATCACAAATTACCAGACACGCAAAAAGGCAGAAGAAAAATCAACCAATAGACCCAGAAAATACAAAGATGGTGGATGGAAGTATCAGATAATGATGTTTAAAAAGTTATTATAAATGAAGAGAGAAACTTGAAGATGCTGAGAAGTGAAGAAATATGTGTCTCAGAAAAAAAAAGGGGGGGAACTGAGCAAAAATATTTGAAGAATAATGGCCCCCTGCTTGTCCTCTCTCTCTAGAAAGAAAGAAAAAAAAATGGCCAAAACATTTCTAGATATGATGAAAACTACACACCCCACAGATCTGAGAAGCCCAACGCACACTAAGCAGAATAACCATTAAAAACAAAACAAAACACAGCAAAGTACCCAATAAACTATTAAAAACCACTGATAGAAACAGAAAATAAAATATCCTGAGGAATCTGTACAGAAATATGAACAGTGACAGCAGACATCGGCAGCAGATATCTGAGCTGGAAGACAATGGAGCAACATCTCACAAATATTAAAAAAGACTGTCAAAATCCTACATCCAGCAAAAAACATCACTCTGAAATGAAAGGGAAATAAAGACTTTCAAGAAAAAAGCTGAGAGATTTTGTCACCAGAAAACCTGCAACTCAGGATGCCTGGGTGGCTCAGTCGGATAAGCGTCTGCCTTCGGCTCAGGTCATGATTCCAGGGTCCTGGGATCGAGCCCCACATCGGGCTCCCTGCTCCGCAGGAAACCTGCTTCTCCCTCTGCCTGTCACTCTCTCTCTGGCAAATAAATAAAATCTTAAAAAAAAAAAAAAAAGAAAAAAAGAAAAAAGAAAACCTGCAGCTCAAATGCTAAAGAAGGAGGTTTATGAGGCAAAGAGAAATTAAAGCAGATAGAAGGCTGGAACCACACAATGGAGTGAAGAGCACTAGGAATGGTAAATACATAAGTAAATATCCAAGACCTCCCCCCCCCCATTTTATTAATTAAGAGATAACTGCCTGGGGGCACGAGGCTGGCTCAGTCAGAAGAGCAAGCAACTCTTGATCTTGGGTCATGAGTTTGAGCCCCATGTTGGGTGTAGAGATTACTAACAAAAACAAAAACAAACAAACAACAACAATCAAAAAACCAACCAAACCAAAAACAAAAAACCCCAAAAAGACCTTAATATACAATCATAAAAATTAGTCCAATAGGCAGCATATAAAGAGGAGAAAAGCAACAAAGAACAGAAGAGAAAACCAAGAGCGAGATGGTAGATTTAAAACCCAACCACATTGTCAACGATAAATGTAAATGGTCTGTTTTCACCAATCCAATTAAAAGTAGAAGAACAGATTAAAACAAGTGAGACCCAAAT